TCAAGCGTACATACGCTTTGTTACCACCCCCCTTAATAACGAAACAATATTTTAAATCAATTATTTATTATACCATTCATTAAAATCATTGATAATATAAATATTGGGACTAGAAGTAGATCTAGTACGTACTTTGTGGATGACCCCTAAGACTTTTGTATTTATATATTATATCCATAAGTTATATATCCGAAGAAATGCAACAATCTCCTTATCCGTAGTGCACAGAAAATATGATTATTTTGAATGCAAATTCATTTTCTACAGACAATTATATTGAGTGTATAAATGGGTTACTAGTGTTAGTAAAGTGATAAAAAAGCTGCAAGATGCAAATACACTTTTAGTTGTATATGATATGATTAATATCGCAAATGCATTGTATGTATGAATGCACTCCAATACCCACTACTTGTATAATATATTACTTTTTGATTACTTTATCCGGAATTCAATCCAATATAATGTTAACGTTTTTGTGTTCATTTGAATGATTGAAAAACTCAATTCAAGTAAAACATATGATATTACATTACATTTCCCTTCAATTAAACTTTATCAAGGATAGATTAGATAAAATTTGTTTTTTATTTTACAGTATATTTAATATATTTTTGTGCAATTTATTGCTCAATTGTATGAAATATTTATTTATATATTGTGTTGATATTTAATTAAGTCTAATTCATAGTCATGTACCGGGTGGTTAACAGTGGTTAATAGCCGGGACATGTTTTCACTGTGAATTGCTACTTGCTCATTAATAAGGCGGACATTTATATAAGAAATTATATTTTATTGAATATTAGTGAAAGGGACTGTAATTGCATTCAATTGGCAATTGATTTAATATTTTATATATAAATTCATTAGCTTTTCATTCAACAGTTTAATAAGATTTTGCAATCATATGACTGTATGTCTTATTACGAGAATATTCTGTAAAATTCTTATACATTATTTACAAAAGCTTTAGAATTTTAATTATTTATAATTATTTTTTATAATAAATACTCAACAAAAAATAAGCTTTATAAAAATTTCAATAATTTAAGGCACAATGAAGTAGAGAATATTTTTAACATTTTATAAATATATAAATATATTGTATGATATAACTGCCATTCTAATAGATAATAGTAATTCAAATGCAATTAAGTATTATTCTCTAGTTTGCTTTATTTTGCTTTAAAAAATTCAATGAAAAATTTGTCGTCATTTTGTTGAATGAGTTTTAGTGTGGAATCAAATGTGGGATCAGTTTTGAGACAATTCCTATCAATAGACCATAAGTTATATTCCGATAATACTTGTGAACATTCGGGTCTTCTCTTATAAATTCCAGCACTCATTGAGTCTATGATTTGATCCAATTTAATGAATTTGTCGTATATTTCATATCCCGAGTAAATACTCAATACCGGGGAACTGTAAAAAGAATATCATACATTTAAATAAATTATCAATAAACTAAACATCAAAATAATTACTTAAAATTATTTAAATTAAACAATTCGTATGAAATTCTTGCTAGGCTATATATATCTGCTTTCGGTGTATATTTAGTGTACTGTTTAACTTCCGGTGCCATGTATTTAAGAGTTCCCACTCCTGTGGTATGATTTTCAGAGGCAATGGAGTGCAATGTCGCCAACCCAAAGTCAGCCACTTTGAAATACCTGCCGTTCTTTACATCCTTCGCCACTAATATATTGTCGGGTTTGAGGTCTCTGTGAATGATCTGTGGATTCAATTCGTGTAAATATTGAACGCATTCTAAGATCTCTTTGAATATATGACACGAAATGTAAAACT